GAGAGAATTTCTTAAATTTCTAGAATAAGTAAGTTTTTCATTCTTTGCTGAAAGCTCTATATTTGTGTTGTGGTGTGACTCCAACATGTAAGTGGGTAAGCTGTCTTCTTTAATAAGCTGTCTTCTTTAGTTAACACTCTCTGCTTGTGCAGAACTGGAAGGTCAAGCAGAGGTGAGAGTTTAGATCCTTTCCAGGTCTCTCTTGGGCATGCACATAGCCCTTTGCATGTCCATGGGCTTCTAGATTTCCAGTAATATTTAAGAGCTTTGTAAAGCCCCCTATGAACATTTCATACTTCAGCTCTTCTATTTAACCTTTTTGATTTGTTCATTTTTTCCCCATCTATTATCCCTGCCTCAGGCAACTGCAATGTTAAACAGTTGCCACTGATTGTTTTCCACAAACATCCCTAAAGAAAACACTTTCCATTGGATAAGCTCTGATTATGTTCAGGTCTTGCTCATGGGGTTTTCTAATATATAGCTAGACAGATTAAATAGTGACAGTTTCCTGAGTTTGAGGTTTTGTAAGAACTCTAGTCTCATTCTGATTTCTCCTATTGCTGCTAATCTGTTGCTTTTCACTGTTATTATGAATGTTTATTTTCAAGGTTACCACTGAATGGCAGAGAGGAGGATGGGGATAGAGAAAGTTAAAATGCCACCGAGGCATGTTATTCTTACTGATAATCAGACATTTAAAAAAGAAAAAAAAGCCTCCCAGATTTGTCCAAAACTTTGGTTAATGTACAGATTTCCAGAGACGTTTATCTGGCACTCTTTGGTAGTATGTTCATTGATTTTATTACAGAGAGAATTGTCAGTTATTCTCACTCTGCCTAATGACATTCTGTGATTTCTTTCATCATTGTCTTGCATTTTTTCCTGTATACACTGCCATGTTTTAATTTATAACTTCATGTTTTCATGTTTTGTGGCTAATATAAATGGTACTTTACTAAAAACGTATTTTCAGAGTTTCATTACTAATATATAAGAATTGAATTGATTTTTTATATATTTAACTTGTGTCATGTACAATTGTTAAATTCTCTTTTTACTTCTTTGTAGCTTTTATGTAGATTCACTGGGATTCTCTAAGTAGATACTCATGTTCTCCATAAATAGAGGCAGTTTTATTTCTTCCTTTCCCATTTGTTTGACATTTATTTTAGGATTTTTGAAAACCTATGTTTACCTAGATTTATATATTAGATTATTTACTCATTTAACTAATTTTTTAACTAATTAATTTAACTAATTATTTCTCATTTAACTAATTTTCCTGTGCTATCTGTTGTAATGGGGATATACGACTTTTTTCCAGTCATTATCTGTTTTCTGAATAGACAACTATGAGAGATTTCTGGTATGAGTCATATCTATTTCCTTGGTCTGTTTATATTACTTAGACCTATTTTTGCATATGAATATTTTTTCAAAGAAGAATCTTTTTATGTAACAGTTATTCCAATGATTGTCTATTGTTAACAAATTAGCAACTAGCAAAAAATGAGTAAAATCCATTTTTATGACTGCATCCTTAAAATATTTTATGATATATTCCCCATAAATCAAAATCATTAGTCTCTTATATGGAATGGATGATTTACATTAGTTCTAGGTCTTTAGAGAACTTTTTCTAACTTTTTTGTTTTGAAAATTTCTTCAAATATGAATTTCTGCAATAGAGGATGTGATCATTCCATGTTAAGACTCCGAAACTTAAAACTAAAATGATTTTTAAAGATAATAAAACAAGTCCTTATATTTTATAGATGATAAAATATATTTCATTATCCCTCTGTAGCAGAGCTTCCCTTTAACTATTATTAAAATATAGGAAGTGAATTCTAACTTATCAACATTGAAATGTCGACCTCCACTTCTACACCTTGGCCTGAGTACAATTATTTTTTACTTGGATTACTGTAATAGCTTAACTTGTCTCACTACTTTTACTTCTCACTACTTCTATTCTCAACACTTTTGAATAAACCTGAGATCATGTCACTCCTCTACTGTAAATACTCGAGTGACTTCCTATTTCATTCGGAATAAAAATCAAAGTCTTTACAATAGGTTTGAAAGGCTTTTAATGATTGGAATCTCATTATCCCAGCATTTACTTGTCTGATCTTATCTTCCAATAGCCTCCCATCTGTTATTCTGCTCCAGGAAGCTAGCTCCTTGCAGTTCTTCTCACATGCCAAGCATATTGCCTTAGGGATCTGCGCACTCATTGACTTCTGTCTGGAATATTTTGCCCCTAGATATATGCATGATTTATTCCCATTCCCCTGTCAATACCACATTGAATCAATACACTCAATGAAACCTCTCTTGAACATAACATCCAAATTAAAAGTCCAGTCTGTGCTTTCCAAACTGGTCTGATTTTCCCAATTTTCATAGCATTTGTCATCTTCTAGGATACTATATTAATTCCTCATTTACTATGTTCATCTAGCTGCTTGAATGCAAGCTCCATAAAAAGAAGTTTTTTGTTTGTTTTGCACCTATTTCATTAACTGCTAAATCTTTGGATTCCATGAAAGTGCCTGGCACATATTAAGTTCTCAATAAATACTTGTTGAATGGATTAATGTATAAAAGAATATAAACACCTTGATAATTTAGTCATGATTCTGGCTTTGACAAAATCAAAGCATTCATCATTTTTGCTTTCAGTTGTATTAGACCTTTCAAAATTACAAATGATTATCTATTTTTCATTATCTGTAATTTCTGGGTTATTTGAGATAAAATATTTAACAGGTGAAGGTAAAGAAATAAGAGGTAAATCCAGCTTCCTTCATTTAGGAAGACAACATGGCAGAAAGAAATTACCTCAGAAAGAAAATTCATACCGTGAGTAATTTCCTTTGTTTGTCCTCCCTATTCCCCAGACAAAACACACAGCACACAATGACTTAACTGTATTCATACCTGTTCTTCCTGTCTTCCCCCCATCTCCAAGAAAGGCCTATCCTGCCTTAGGCCATTCCCTGCTTTGCTCAGCTTTAGATTGTTTGTTCCAGGTCAATTTATCAAGGTTTCTAGATGACCAATTCACCAATGGATATTTTACCACATTTTCTTATTTCTTTTAATTATATATTTTAAATTATACATTTTAAAGCAAACTGTGTTGGAAATTTAAAAATTTCTATGAAGTTTTATAGTATTTTTTGTTTTGTCTTCATAACACTGCTTTAAGTAATAATTAGTTTGCATTTGTTTCAGCTGCCTGTTTCTGGACAGATAGAATAGGGCAACTCTCCTTACAGAAAAGTTAGAGCAGGAGGTTGCATAGTTCATCTTTTTCCTTTGGACCTCAGGTTTTAGGGTGTGTGAAAGCCTGAGATAGAGGGGTGGAGAGCAAAAGCCTATAGATATATATTTTTTGAAAGTATATTGATTGAAAATATCTATGCTTATGAAAGAATATATAAAATATTCTTGGTTACTTTCTTAAATATCCTTCAACATATATATATATATATATAATATATATGTATATATATATACACACACACACATGCACATACACATTTACACAGACACATACTCTTTTTATGCCAAGTGTCACCCTCTTTGCTCATTCATCCTCTTGCTTCTGAGATCAACATCTCGTACTATTCAGTGTGCTAATTCTACTCTGTATGTTTTATTCATCAGATATATCCTTACCCTGTCCTAGTTTCTTCCATGTCACCACCAAGAAGCTGCAGCAAGGATAGATCCAATATTCTTTAAAACTCTATCATCAAGACAAAAAATAAAAGGAGTATAGCTTAAAAACAAACACATTTGAGGAAATGACCATTTGATAAGTTGGCCACTGCTCTAAATTGAATTTAAAAACCACTTAACTATTGAATTGGCACAAGAAGGTGCCACATCCCCCTTTTTGTGTTCCCATGATCCAAACTCTAGCTAGGATTTTGCCATTTTAATAAAATTTTTCTCATTATTATAGGCATAAGAAAAAAACCTTAGAGGTATTAGTTTTCTTATGTTTTTCTGTTCCACTCTCTTGGGCTTATCTGTTATTAAATCCTAAATAAATATTTGCTAAATGAATCAATAAAATAATATTAAGCGGTTTAAGGTTGATATCTACCTACACATTGAAAGTTCACCTAATTCAATGAAGAGTGGGCTTTGAATCTGGCTTGTCTTAGAAGAATTCTCAGGAGATAATGGAATTTGAGACTGAGCTAGAATGCCATTGATATATGTGAATAACTCAGAATTTATGAGTAGGAGTTTTTCAATTTATCTTCATTTCCTGGAGATTTTCTAGACCAGGCATGAATCTAAATTTGGAGATGACCCAAAGTAATACTCTGGAGCTTGGAGACAGATCAGGGGGAATGACAGAACAGGTGGGAGTCTTTCTCTTAGCCATGCAAATGCTCTGGAAATTGCAGTTGAAAGTAGATGACAATCAAATTTAGCACTGATAACATGATAGATTTATAGGTTTATAAACTAGAGAGAAATTTGATTTGGAGAGTTATGGAATGAATAAGTCACAGGGATGAAAAGTACAGCATAGGGAATAGAATCAATGGTATTGTAATGCATTTTATGGTGACAGATGGGAGCTACACTTGTGGTGAATACTGTATAACATATAGAGTTGTCGAATTATGTTGTACCCTTGAAAGTAATGTAACGTTGTTTGTCAACTATACCTCAATTAAAAGAAATACTAAAAAATTTTTTATTTGACCCACAGGTTAGGCCAGTAAATAAGCTGGGCAAATATTCACTTTGACTTAAATTCTGCAATGTCTGTGGAGATAATTACGACTATTAATTATTATGTGGAATAGGCAAATCATATGTTGGTCTCTAGGAGTCTGAAAAAGCTATGATATAAATATGATTGGAAATTTTATAGCTTTAAAGCAATTTCACTTGAATGTTTGTCAGCCACTGCTTGGAAAACTGTGACTTTTTATATTATGTATGTTATATGTCCTCTGCAGGATTAGAGCAGTTTGTTGGAAGAATGCAAGATTTTCGATTTTACCAAGTGGCGCTTACAAACAGGTAAGTGAATGTGGTGTTGTAGAACTCAACAGGTATAAGAATAATTCCTGAATTTGCTTAAGTAAGAGCTGAAAAAGATTATATTATTTTCATCTTTACAGCATTTGACAAATATCACCCAATTAATGTTTACAATGTTTATTTTGGCTTAGCCTATGATTGTTATTCACTAGTGCTACTCCATTGGGTAATTCCTTATAATATGAAATTGATGAAATTCTTTACAAAGGATTTTCTCTAAAGAAACTAGAATTTTTAAAATAAGTTGTATTATAGAACTTGGGGTACATGAAGTAGTTTCTGATACATGAGAAACTGCTCTATCTGCCTTTTAAACTTGCTTTGCTGAATTTATAAGTACTGAGAATTTAGAAAAATGAAAATGATTATTTTGATATATGGGAAAGTCTCAAGAGACTGAGCTATTAGACTTAGAAACAAAAAGAAGGAGTAATTTTTAATATTTTTTCTATTTCCAGTGAACAAAAATTATATACATTTGGACTAGTGTTAATCAAATATTTCATCTTAAGAATAGGTGGGAAATCTTTCCTAGGGATTCTTAAAGAAACATAGATTTTCATTCTCTTCAGAAAAGTTCAAGTGAAATTCTGCTTAGATGTCCTCTGAAGTTTCTCTCCCAAGTAATGATTTGATTATATGATAGTACATTGTTGTATAGATGAGTTGATGTTGTTTATTTCTATTAAGGATCAAAAAGAATGATGTTTATTCATATTTCTTAAAGGAAGATATAGATTAGTGTTGTGAATTTCCAAATGACAGGAGTAGCTCTTTTCAGTTTGAGAAGTGTTACTCCCGAGGTGCCTCTATAGTCAGTGGTATGTCCATTAGAAATATAAACATTCTTTACTAATCAATATAATCATGAGATACCTGAACAAAGTGTGCTGTAACAATGGAACACATTATTAGGGAAATTTCCTGGCAGCAGTCTCACTACCCTTTGAATCACCTGTGTCTAAAATTCTGGACAGCAGTGTTGCAATAATCTGGGGGGGCTAATAAAGTTTTTCCTGGGAGCCAAGATGTCACTTTTGGTCCCATTCAAAACCTGGTATCAATTGGAAAATAACAATAAGATTTAAAGAAGAAGGTAGGATTTCATGTAATTTAGTGAATGGGAAAAACTGCCTGATTCCATTCCCCCCACTGGAATCTGAAGGAAGAAGCCTCATCTCTCTAGTTATACCTGGGTTACTGGTGTTGGCCTACCTAAGGTGTCTGGAAAGGTATTATGGGAAAGAATGCCTATAAATAGGATAACTAATTCTGACCTAGAACAGCTATATTGGCCTTAATGGAAAAATTAAATATGTCTGCCTGGAATTGGCATTATTCTTTGACTGTTGGCAGTTGCCAGGTGATCCAAAGCCATTGAAGCACTTTAGGGTGCCAAAATCTGTACTGATGAGTCACAGAAAACCACTGACAAATGGTCTTGGCCTCAGTCCCTTTACTTAAAACAGCAGCAGACAAAATGATACTTGCTTTCTTATTTCTTTCCCATGGATGAATTGGAAACAGTATCTATAACCCTTAGGATTTTCAATATATTATCATTCATTTTAGGGGTAAGTCAGTTTAACAACCTAAATGAATGTTACCTTTTTTTTCCCCATCACAAATAGGCACAATAAAATATTATGATATTTAAATAAATGTCTCAATAATCAGACCAGGACTTACCCATGCTTCTCAATGTAAAAAGTTAACACTTAAGAATTTACTGTTTCTAATATCCATTTTATGAGTATGTTTGTTTGGCCAGGAATGAGTTTGATCTTATGTTCTGTTTAGAAAATAATTAAAATTAAATGGGTAGTAATCAAAGCATTAAAATAGTGATATTCATTTGTGACAACCCTTGGAAGTTCTATTACTGCTGAACTATTTGTCCTTACAGTCTGCTTCTTACACCCACAGGGAGATTCTGGAAGTTTTTTCTGGAGATCTGTTCAGATTGCATATCCAGTCCCATTGCCGCTGCCCTGGCAGCCACCCTAGGGTCCATCCTTTGGGACAGCGGTACTGCATTCCCAATGACGCAGAAGACACAACCACTGATAGGGTGTTACGGCTCAATCCTGAAGCCCATCCTCTTTCTTTTGTCAATGATAATGATATTGTTACTTCGTGGGTTTCACAAGTTTTTACCAATATTACCCAGCTTCATCAAGGAGTGACTATTTCGATAGATTTGGAAAATGGACAGTATCAGGTAATTTGAAATAATGGGGTATATTAATTTCCTGTAATGACCACAACCAGTCATCACTAAATTAATGGCTTAAAACAACAGAAATTTATTCGCTCACAGTTCTAAAGATCAGAAGTACAAAATGAAAGTATCGGCAGGGCTACTGTCCCTCCACAGACTCTAGTGCAGAATCCTTCCTTGCTTCTTCCAGGTTCTGGTGACTTCTGGTGTTCCTTGGTTTATGGCCACATAACTCCCATCTCTGCCTCTATTGCACGGGCCTTCCTCCTTGTTTCTCTCTGTATGTCAGTTTTTTCTTCTTTTTCTGTTGTAAGGCCCAGGCTTCATCCAGGATGATTTCATCTTCAGGTCCTTAAGTTAATTACATCTGCAAATACCTTATTTCCAAAGGTCACATTCACAGGTACCAGGAGTTAGTTCTTAAACGTATCTATTTGGAGATGCAATTCTAATCTATTACAAGGTGAATTAGGCAATTGGACATTACTTCACTAAAGTAGTATATAATAATGTATAAAATAAAAATATCTAAAAGAAAATATGTAGGGCCTACTTTTTAGGTATCTTATGAAATCATATGAAATATTGAAAATAATTCTTTTTATTTATATTTTATATTTTTAATATTTATTTTTTACTTACTTATATTTATTATACTTATATCTATGAGGTGCTTATTCTAAGTAATTACTTAAAAAGAATTCATATAACAATTACCTCATGTAAGTAAGGTTCTTTTTCCATGTCTTTCTATCAAACTGAATATTAATTTGCACTTAATTTATAGAATCCTTGGGAAAGGATGGATATGTAATTATAGATTGTGTTCCTTTTACTGTAAGGCTGTGAAGTCTCTGGCTGTCCAATAAATATTTGATAATTATCATTATGAGGAAGTAAGCTATTATTTTTGAAACTAACAATTCCCTGGTTTGATTTATACTAATGGGTCAAATTTAAAACTTAAAGACAATGATTAACTTATCCATTTTCAGGTGTTTTATATTATCATTCAATTCCTTAGTCCACAACCAACAGCAATAAGGATTCAAAGGAAGAAGGAGGACAACCTAGATTGGGAGGACTGGCAATTTTTTGCTAGAAATTGCAGAGATTTTGGCATGGAAAATAATGGAAAATTGGAAAATCCTGATTCTGTCAACTGTCATCAGCTTTCCACGTATGAATATTTAACAAATAACTATATTTGAAGGAGTTCATTTTAATAGACTACTGTGTTAATAAGAAGCAAAGGTAGACTAACTCATTAGGCTGGTAGAGATTTCACTCTACCACTAACCTTCTTGAGGCAGATTCTTTTAAGAGTCCCCCCAACTTGAGATTTAAACTGCATTGAAATTCTCATGGAAGGGCCTGGGAGTCATAAGTCTGTTAAACAACTGACTCTTGGTTTCAGTTCAGGTCATGATCTCAGGGTTGTAAGATCAAGTCCCATATCAGGCTCTGCACTTAGCATGGAGTCTGCTTGGGATTCTTTCCCACTCCCTCTGCCTAGCCGTTTGCTCCTCTCCCTGCTCCCTTGCTCTCTCTCTCTCTAAAATAAATAAATCAACTTAATTAAAAAATGGAGTTCTCTTAAAAGACTTGACAGTATCTTTTGTTTATAGTCTCATTTGGACTTTATAATCTGATTTTTCAATTGTTTTAGCAATATCTATATTAATAGAATTTTATTATGCCCTCTAGAAAATGTTTTACTATGTTTTTCTGTGATGCTATTATATTTGCACACGAAATATCTGAGATATGTATGTTTCCCAGAATGAAGAATTCAAGCTATTACAAATATTGTGTAGTAATGTCTCAAAGTTATGATGTTTTGTTAAAAATATGAATAGCTTTTAATGACTTCCAATTTTTTTCACCAACAGTTTTACTCCATATTCCCATGGTAACATCACATTTAGCATTCTATCACCTGGACCAAATCATCGACCTGGCTACAATGACTTTTATAATACCCCATCTCTTCAAGAGTTTGTAAAAGCCACACAAATAAGACTTCATTTTCATGGACAGTACTATACAACTGAGACTCCTATCAGCCTCAGACACAGATACTATGCAGTCAATGAAATCACCATCACTGGGAGGTAATGTTAATTACCACACTTTGATGGCAGGATCCTTTTCCCTTTGAGTTTTGTTTTCAACCAGATTTTTGTCATACTTATTTAAAAATACATTAAGATTTCGATCAATCCAGATTCCAAACTTCACATTTTGAAATGGTTTCCTCCTCTAAGATTTTTTGGAAAGATTTGTATGTAATTCTTTTCTGTATGTAGGACCACACTGTTATGGAATCAATTTTCAAAAGCTAAAATTGGGTTTAGAAGGTATGATACCCTGAATCGGGCTTAGAAATAATTTACCAAGTATTTTGCTAGTTTTTTTCTGGAGTATAATTTTCAAGTGTTCTTGAAATCAGAGAGTAGGAGCTAGATTTCAAGTTACAACTATATTACCATCCACTCTGTAAGTACAGGGCTTGATCTCTCTGAGTTTACAATTCACAAGTTTATGGGGAATATTTGTCTTCCTAGGAAGAAAAACTAATATTCCCTAAATAATTTATAAACATCTGATTATATTTGAGAACATGGCTCACAATATATCAAAACACGGATAACTGGAGATACTCACTGGTATGGAAATGGCACATATAGGTTATATTTAGAATCAAATTGTGCTAGAAGAGTGATATGCACTGTAAATAAAGTACATCTCTAGAAACAGACCAAAATACCAAACTATAAGTATTGTTTTTTTAGTAATACTGTAAGATAAATAATAATACTATTAAATATTCACCATCTAACTTTGGGGGAAAAAATCCCAAATAATTGAAATATGTTAATTTCATCCTGCAGTTTATTTTAAACTTTCTAGTTCCAATTCTGTCTTTAACAGTTTCAGTAAATGCCTTGGCAAGTTTGCTACGTACTGTCGTAGGTGGAAACAACCCTCAACTCTTTTCTAGGGAGTCTTAAAAATTACCTTCTCAGAACAATATGGTTTGGATATTGATAACACTTTATCCAGTACTTTAGGATTAGTCAACAGCTTTCATGAACATCTATATGATAAAAGAGAAACTGAATTTTGTGTTGATTAACATACTTGACTTCCTTGTTGGATCCACACAGTGGATATATTCACAGGTCCTTAGATATATTCATAGTTGAGTTGGCTTAGGAATTGTCTGATGTTCCTGTTCACAGATGTCAGTGCTATGGTCATGCTGATAAGTGTGACACAACAAGCCGGCCCTATCAATGTCTCTGCTCTCTAGAAAGCTTCACCCAAGGACTTCACGTGAGTTCTCTGTTTGATACATGGATATATATTTTTAAAAAAGTGGAAATGGGAGAGGGATGAAGAAATGGTGAATATAAATTTAAAAAAATTGTTATCATGGTACGTTAGTCACTATACAGTACATCATTACTTTTTAATGTAGTATTCCATGATTCATTGCTTGCTTATAACACCCAGTGCTCCATGCGATACACGCCCTCCTTAATACCCATCACTGGGCTAACCCATCCTCCCACCTCCTCCCCTCTAAAACCCTCAGTTTGCTTCCTGGATTCCATAGTCTTTCATGGTTATCTCATCCTCTGATTTCTACCCCCCTTCATTTTTCCCTTCCTTCTCCTAATATCCTCCACGCTATTCCTGTATTCCACAAATAAGTGAAACAATATGATAATTGTCTTTCTCTGCTTGACTTATTTCACTTAGCATAATCTCCTCCAGTTTCATCCATGGTGATGAAAATGTTGGGTATTCATCCTTTCTGATGGCTGAGTAATATTCCATTGTATGTATGAACCACATCTTCTTTATCCATTTGTCTGCTGAAGGGCGTCTTAGCTCCTTCCACAGTTTGGCTATTGTCCACATTGCTGCTATGAACATTGGGGTGTATGTGATCCTTCTTTTCACTACATCCGTATCTTTGGGGTAAATACCCTGTAGTGCAATTGACGGGTTATAGGGTAGCTCTATTTTTAACTTTTTGAGGAAACTCCACACTATTTTCCAGAGTGGCTATACCAACTTGCATTCCCACCAACAGTGTAAGAGGGTTTCCCTTTCTCTACAACCTCTCCAACATTTTTTGTTTCTTGCCTTGTCAATTTTTTTCCATTCTAACTGGTGTAAGGTGGTATCTCAGTGTGGTTTTGATTTGAATTTCCCTGATAGTTAATGATGTTGAACACTTTGTCATGTGTCTGTTAGCTATTTTTTTTTTTTTTTTTACTTCTTTGGAAGTGTCTGTTCATGTCTTCTGCCCATTTTTTCTACTTGATTATTTGTTATTTAGGCATTGACTATGAGAAGTTCTTTATAGGTCTTGGATACCAGCCCTTTATCTGTAGCTTCATTTGCAAATATCTTCTAACATTCCATGGATTGTCTCTTTGTTTTGTTGATTGTTTCCTTTGCTGTGAAGAAGCATTTTATTTTGGTGAACTCCCAAAAGTTCATTTTTGCTTTTGTTTCTCTTACCTTTGGAGATGTGTCTTGAAAGAAATTGCTGTGAATGATATTGAAGAGGTTACTGCCTATATTCTCCTCTAGGATTTTGATGGATTCCTGTCTCACATCAAGGTCTTTCATCTATTTAGAGTTAATCTTTGTGTATGATGTAAGAGAGTGGCCCAGTTTTGTTTTGTTCTTTAAGAAAACTGTCCCATTTATAATAGTAACAAAAGCCATAAGATACCTAGGAATAAACCTAACAAAAGAGGTAAAGGATCTATACTCTAGAAACCATAGAACACTTATGAAAGAAATTGAAGAAGACACAAAAAAATGGAAAAACATTCCATGCTCATGAATCAGAAGAATTAATGTTAAAATGATTATGCTGCCCAGAGCAATCTATACTTTCAATGCCATCCCAATCAAAATAACAATGGCATTTTTCAAAGAGCTGGAATAAACGATGCTATAATTTGTATGGAATGAGAAAAGACCCCAAATCACCAAGGAAATGTTGAAAATGAAGAACAAAGCTGGGGGCATCATGTTGCCTGATTTTAAGCCATATTACAAAGGTGTGATCAATAAGACCGCATGGTACTAGCACAAAAACAGATACATAGATCAGTGGAACAGAATAGAGTCCAGATTATGGACCCTCATATTTATGGTCAACTAATTTTTGACAAAGCAGGAAAAAATATCCAATGGAAAAGAGACAGTCTTTTCAATAAATAGTGCTAGGAAAATTGGACAGCTATAAACAGAAGAATGAAACTCGACTATTCTCTTATACCATGCACAATAAGTATAACTTTTTAAACTTAATTTTGGTCTACCTTCTGGGTTTGAATAAAAATAAATTGATATGAGCTCAAAATATCAGTTATTTCAGGAAATTTTTGGTAGAAAAAGAAGCCATCAAAAGGATGAAAATGTAGCAGTGTCTGGGTGGCTCAGTGGGTTAAAGCCTCTGCCTTCAGCTCAGGTCATGATCCCAGAGTCCTGGGATCGAGCCTCACATCGGGCTTTCTGCTCAGTGAGGAGCCTGCTTCCCTTCCTCCTCTCTCTGCCTGCTTCTCTGCCTACTTGTGATCTCTCACTGTCAAATAAATAAATAAATAAAATCTTTTAAAAAATAAAATAAAGTGTTGTTCTTATTAAAAAAAATTAAAATAGAAATAGCCAGCATCAACATTAGTCACAGCTGATATGAAAGCAGGTATAGCAGCAGTAACAATCATACCAATGATAAAAAATAAATAGTATGGAGTTTTGGTAAGTGATATTTAAGGCAATTGATATCAATTTGGGGGAAAAAAAGTTAAAGCCCTACTTCATCGTATGTATAGAAGTCCAGGTGACTTAAAGACTTAACTATAAAAGTAATTATAAATCTATTAAAATAAGGATTAAAATTTCTAAACCTAAAGCTAGGGACTTCATAAGCAAAACAACTACAAATAGAAACAAAGAAATATATCAGAACCATGAAAAAAATTATTGACATATTTTGTCATATACATATTTAAAATTCTTTACAGTGTAAGGACTAATTAATTGGATGAACTTGATTGATTCATTCTTATTCAGCCATAATTGTGTGTTTAATTTTTTCCCAACTTGATTGGTTCTTGATTTTAAATTTAAAGTAACAATTATTATATTTTTTCTGGTGTCTTCTTCTTTTAATTCTTTAAGATGCATATTTCTCCTTCCTTGCAATCAGGGATTTCTTTTATTAACCTCACAATGTAGCACTGTCAGAGATTCCTACTTGTCTCCTAAACTTCGCCTCATATGTGTGTTTAATTAGTCACTTCACTTTTCTCTGTCATTTGTTTTAAGATATCATGGAACATCTTGTTTTTTAAAAACCGTCTGTCAAGATTTTAGAAACTCCATTTCTATCTTCTGAGATTCTTAATCTGATCTAATTTGTTTCCAGTGACAACATTAGTGCATATAGTTAGCAAGAATATTATTTACAATTCAGACTTTCTCTAGCACATTTAGGATGTATCCTTGCCCTCACTTTCAACTCAGTCTTTGATTTGGTTACAGCTTTCTTTCTTTCTATGTGCTCAAGCCAAAACTTTCATGTTCTAATTCAGATGTTCCTTTGAACTTATTCTCCAGATCATTGCTTTATATTGTTGATCTTTTAATTTATACTTTTAGTCTTCACCACTGGTTGATAATTGCTTTGAACGAAGGAATCTTTTACATATTTTTGGATTTCTAACATCTATAGGCTTTGAATTTGGTTTGATTAGAGTATCATGAGAAAAACAATCTTTTTAAAAAGCATTGATTTTAGTGTGTTTGATTGTATGGCTTATCATATTGTCCCAGAAAGGAAATTAATTGGATGAACGTGATTGATTCACTCTTTATTCAGCCATAATTGTGTATTTAAGTTTTTGCCAGTTTGATTTGTTCTTGATTTTATAGTTAAAGTGACATTTTATTTTATTTTTCCTAACATCATCTCCTTTTGATTCTTTAAAATAGACACTTCCCTTTCCTTGCAATCAGTAATATCTTTTATTAACCTCACTCCTCCTCCCCAAACTCACCAAGAGCTCAGTTAAAACACACTCAGGGATGAATTCAGTGAGGCACCTCGATCTGAATTTGTACAATATATGCAAATTAAAGACTGGGTAATGCTTTCATATGATATGTTGTTTCCTGAGCTTCTCTTGCTTTGTTTAGACTAGTTAATTCTCATCCCTTCAACCCCTACCCCTGTCTCCCTTTTCCTTTTGATATCCCATCCTATTTTTTCCCCTTTCTCTCTCTTTAATTGCTCACAGTTGAGTGATTGATATTTTATGATTCTTGGATGATTTCATGCTTCCCCTTAAAAATAGAGCAATTAAATGAATCAAGGCTCATGATTGGTTTCAGAATTCAAGTTGGGATTTTCAGACTTGGTCTCAGGTGGTGACTGTTGGATTATGAACTAGCGAAATAATTAACTATAATTTAGGTTGAGAATACATTTTAATGCTTCTTATTGAGATATTATGTGTCTTTTGGAAACAAAGGTAGAAAGTTGACTTTTTTTTGTTATTCTCTTCCTTGACATATTTTGATAATTTATGAATTTAGCCATAAATAAAAAAGCAACATATATCACTCACTTAGCAAAGTTTGGTAAATGTAGCTGAAGGGAAAAATTCAATAGACTTTTGAATGATTTCTCAGTGCTATGATATTTTCAATAATGCATTGAAAATGAGAAATGATTTTATAAGGCATTCAAAATATGCCATTCTCTTATTGTTATCATTCAAAGTATTTTAATACATGTGGGACTTACATATCTGAAAAAGGTATCTTATAATAATTTCAAAATATATTTATTCAAGTGCTTTTCACATTGTTCTACTTTTTTAAAATATAAGTTTTAATATAAGCCATCCATTTCCTATTGGAGTCAGTGTTCTTTTTAAAGATCTGGACATAATCCAAAAAAGAATATCTTCAATTTCACAGTATTATGCTAACCATTAATAATATTACTCAATAAACAGGGCTTCTGTGAATTATATTACAGCCATTTGGCAAAGAGATGAAAACGTAAACCTTGAGAATATGCCAGTTCTTGGCAATTGGCAGTCCTATAAGAAAGTGTTTTTAGAGGAAGTGAAAATGAATGAAGTTGGAGAAAGGCAAATTCAGAAGCAAGTTCTGACATAGAACCATTCCAGGGAATTTTCTATATAAAGCATTTAGTTGTTTATAAAGTTGATGTCATAATCAGTGGTCCACAGGTGGGAACAGTGTTTAAATAATTTGTTACTTAATTTCTGGAA